ATAATAATAATAATAATAATAATAATAATAATAATAATAATAATAATAATAACAACAACAACAACAACAACAACAACAACAACCCAATACACTAGCCTGATGATGGCAGATGAGATTCTGCCAAAACGTCACTATAACTCTAAAAGCACAACTATTTAAGACGTGGGAAAATACCAGGACAAACCTAAATACCATACGTATAAATACCCGTGAAAACATAAGAAAACATATATATTTTATATGTCATATATATGTGTGTGTGTGTGTGTGTGTGTGAAGCTCAACCTTTTCAGCTCCTCACTTTCCAAGCTGGGACAAATTCATTAAATAAAAGAAAAAAGAAACCACTGCCCTTCAATCCTGCAATCCCCCTGGCTCTCCCTGCCTCTGTTTCCAACAAAATGAAAAGCCACCGGAGCCCCTCATTTCTCAGGGGGCAAATTGCCTACAAGAAGCACAAGAGATGGGAAGGGGTGACTGAGCAGAGCACCTCCAAACAGGCATGGATGCGCTTCCCATTTTAAAGCTTCAGGAGATAAAAATACACCGAGTTAGCACTCCAGAGCTGAAGAAAAGAAAAAAAAAAAAGACGCAGATTTCCTGGCCTTTTTGGTCTTTAATTAGAACCATTTGAGGGGAGAGGATTTAAAAATAGTGTATGAACAATTATTTACACTTGCAGGTGTCAATTATTAGTTGTTTACATTTGGAAGCCAACCAACCCTTGTTAAGCATCTCAAACATGCAACAAACTGCCCATATTTCTTTTTTTTTAGATAGTTCATTGCCTGCTTAAATTTTGTCCCCATCCCGATTTTTGTTTCCCGATTTTTGCTTTAGCACGGCTAAAGCCTTTTCCAATTGCTCGTTTCGGAGTTTGCACTTTATGTGGTGCTCACCAAATATGCGGGATTCAACTACCCATTAAGGGCCAGACTGCTGGGGGGAAAAATAAATGGGAGTCCGACTTTTCTTTGGGACCTTTTGAGCCACTTGTGGCACCGGGTGGCAAGCAAAATTGGGGACTGGAGGGAAGAGCCTTCACCAATGCCCAGGCAGAGGGAAGAAGAGGGGCTCCGCACGGCACCAAAGCTCCTTCCTTCCTCCTCCTTCCACCTCCTCTCTCTCCCTCTCTCTCTAGTACATTGGTAGCTTGGACGTGCCAAGACCCAACAGCCGTATGGAGATTGTGGCCGCCATGAGAAGAATCCGGGTGAGTCACTGCAGACCCCATCCCCTTCTCTCCTCCCTTGCCTCTTCCCTGTGCTCCCTCCCCTCCCCAACCCCCAAGGCCCCCGGGAAGCATTTTTCTGTCCCCGGGAAGCATTTTTCTGTCGGAAGGGGAGATGGGGAGGAAGGCATGGTGTTCTCTTGTTCCCAAATTCCTCTCCCCAAATGCCACCACCCACTCCTTCCACTCCGAGAAGCAGCCATGCCATCTTCTGCTTGGCGAGGCTCCCGCTGTCTTCCCGCCTGAGCCCACAGCCGGCCTCTCTTCTGGAACGGAAGGAAGACGAGAGCCAAGGAAAGGGCAGCCAGGAATGGAGAAAAGGGGCCGGAGGAGGTCAAAGAGCCATGTTTCAAGGGGGAGGGAGGGTCGCCTTCATTTCCTCCCCGGATCCTCGTGGGCGGTGGGAGCCACGGCAGGTGGGAGGCAGGTGGGCTGTGGGTGCGTGAGCATCACCTGTTCTAGATGGACAAAGTGGTCTGCCCCAAGGCTGTGTTGGACCATGGTTGCCACCAGACACACTTTTGCACGGTTGAGGTGAGCAGGCAAACCAGCAGGTGCTTGCAAGGTGTGGCCCACATTGGAGGTGGAGGTGGGAAAAGAGTGGAGGGAGAGGCAGGCCACGGACAGTTCAAGGAGAAACTCATAAACTGGCCATCTGCCCACGCTGACCCACACCTCTGCTCAGATCTCCGTCTCCAAATAGCCACAAGCTCGCAATTCCCAACTCACCAGGAAGGCATCAAGTTGGGAGAGGCTGGGTGGAAGGACCAGAGCTGATGCCCTCTAACACAACCAAACGGCCTGTTGGCTGCTGGCATCCTTCTTCGTCCTCTTCTGACCACCCTGCCACTGGTTTTGCAGGATTTAACCTGGTGGGCCTGCACTTTCCAGGCCAATTGAACAGGGCAGGCTGTGGTTGGCCTTTAAAACAAATACCCAACAGCACAAAACCCAGTTCTGAAAAGTCCTTCACTTGGTGCCAAAAGTGCCATGCCAGCTTCTTTGGAGAGGTGGTTCCAAGGAAAATTCACTGGTATTTCTCAACCTTGTCCTTGCCCTCTTGAAGATGGACTTTGACTCCCAGAATTCCCCAGCCAACATGGATGGACCCCCAACTCCCAGCATGCTGGTTGTGGACTTCTGGGAGTTGAAATCCACCCATGTTAATACGGATAATCAGAGTTGGAAGGGACCTTATAGGTCATCTAGTCCAACTCCCCACCCAAGCGGGAGACCCTACACCATTTCTGACAAATGGCAGTCCAATCTCTTCTTGAAGGTCTCAAGTGATGGTGCTCCCACAACTTCCGAGGGCAACTTCTGTTCCATGGGTTGATTGTTCTCACTGTCAGAAAGTTTCTCCTTGTTTCCAGGTTGAATCTCTCCTTGTTCAGTTTCCATCCATTATTTCTTGTCCGGCCTTCGGGTGCTTTGGAGAACAGCTTGACCCCTTCCTCCTCTCTGTGGCAGCCCCTCAAATATTGGAAGACTGCTATCCTGTCTCCCCTGGTCCTTCTCTTCCCTAGACTAGCCAAGCCCAGTTCCTGTGACCGTTCTTCATATGCCTTAGTCTCCAGTCCCCTCATCATCCTGGTTGCTCTTCTTTGCACTTTTCCTAGAGTTCAAGTTCAAGTGGGCAAGGTTGAGAACCACTGTTTGTAGCCCACATCTCCCTTGCGTCCTTTGTCAAGAGATGAGGAGGGGGCTGGGAACCATGGAAGGGGTCTGAGGCCAAGTGTCTCCTTATATCCTGTGATTCCATTGGAAGCATCTGCCTGGCTTTCTAGCAGAACAGAAGGTGCCCTATGAATCTTGCAACCAACAGATTTTATTATGGCTTGTGCTTCCTCTCTTGATTCATACATCACCTTTCGGCTGAGCTGAAGAACAGATTTTTTTCACAGCAGGGAGAGCAAAATCAAGAATTTTAATCTCTCTTTCGCTTGTACGTTCAGTGGGGGAAGAACCTGTTTTGCCAGAAGAAATACTTGAGGGGAAAAAAAAAAAGAGAGAATGCAAACCAAAATCCAGTTGAGATGCCACCCACACAGGAGCTGGTTCACAGAAACCAATGATTAAGCGTGGAGAGGATGGGGAGAAGCAGGACAGACCCAACGGATGGGTGAGAATTCAACCCTACCCAACAGTGTTCCTACAACACAATATCGAAACGATTCTCGTCGCCAACCTCAAAGTGCAAAGACGGATTCCTATGAAAGCTCAGAAGACCCAAAAAAACCTCTGCTCCCAGAGACAGACCCAGATTGCATCCTACAAAGACATTCTCCACCCTCCTTAAAAACCCAGAACGTTACGTGGTTGCACAACTGATGCCACCAATTCTTTGGACGTGCCGCCAAACTGCCAAACAAACCCATGATTTCTTCCCCCCGCCCCCCCCTTTCAAGCCAATCTTTTTGCAAAGATCTTCTCCTTTGGGAGAAGCTGTCAACGAGAACGGAGGTTGGGTGGGTGGGAGGAATATACACGCCCAGCCAGGAGGGCTAAGCATTTTCTCCTGGTGTACCACCCCCCCACAAAACTGAGAAGTCTTGCGGAGCAGAGATCAAAGGCGGTGGTTTTCGGAGCTGAAACCCTCCCTTGGAGAAGAAGAACTAACCAGGAGGAAGGAAGAGCCAGGACTTGAAAGAAAGAAAAGGGGAAGAATCAAGCGGGATGCAAATGTGGTGGATAAGAGCAGGTTATGCCAGACTACGCTGTCATTAAAGCCAAGCTAAGCCTGAATTTGAATGTATTTTTAAACCTCCTCTTGGATTATTATTAGCTGTCTGGAGTTGTCGAGCTTTCTGAGCTGAAATTAAGCCCCCTTCTCCCTGCAAACCCCAAAGCTCCGACTTCTGGCTTGTCAGCGATAGCAGCTCCACTCTGAGCGGCCTGGAATATTAAGCCGAGTTTCCACCACCCACTCCTCTTTCCTGACGATGCCACCCACCCTCTGAATCGTGTCCTCCGTCTCCCTCCTGTGGCCCAGCCGTTCTCTGCATTCCCCCCCCCCCCCGTCCTTGGATGGTGCTGCCAATCTGCCACCCTGGTGCCCAGGAAACCTTTTCCTCTTCGTATCTCACCACTGTGTTTGGATTTATTTGCGGTCTGGTTTTCTACCCTCCCCAACCAACAAACTGCCCTGAATACAAAGGCTGTGGAAAAGCCCAAATCTCACGGCTCCTCAAATCAATAGGGTGACTTTCAAGCGGGGTTGCGCAAGTGAAGAGCCGGAACAGACGTGCCTGGAAGCTCTAATGAGGCGGGGGGGGGGGGGGCTCACCCAGAAGACCCCTCGATTAGGAGCAAAGGAAAAGCCACAGCCCACTTGCCAGATTCCCCCCTTCCCCGCAACACACACACACACACACATCCTTTCCTGGAATAAGAAGTCAATTTCACGGCACGGATGCTGGCTGGTTTGCCCAACACGCTAAGCCAGCATGCAACCTCGTTCGGGGTGGCTTTAGCTGGTATTTATATCGCAGAGCAGAATCCGGGTATTTGGAGACGTTGGAATCCAGAAAAGTAGATTTTTACCTAAGGATGAGAAATTTAGCCACAAGCCAGCCACGCTTTCAGGAAAGCTTCCTGACTGACTCTTCCATTTGGGGGAGGTGGGGGGGGAGCAGGATTCACTTGAGAAAGGCGGCGACTTATTGATTTAATTTATATTGACGCCTATTCGCCCATGGCGACTCGAGGCGGTTCACACAATGTAAAAACCATATTTAAAACAAAAAAATAAAAACAATAAAAACTAACAAAAAGAATCAAATAAATTAGTAAAGTACAATAGAACAAAATTTGGGAAAAACAAAAACAAAAACAAAACAAATCAAAAGCCAACTCCCACCCACCTCCTCCCCGACGATAGCAGATCACACTAGCCACCTGATGGGCTCCATCCCTCTTTGGGTTCCCCGGGCCCGCTGGCAAAACCAGGTCTTCAGTGCCTTTCGAAAGAGTATTAGGGGGCCATTCTAATCTCTGGGGGGGATGATGTTCCAGAGAGAGGGAGCCACCACGGAGAAGGCCCTTCTTCTGGGTCCCACCAGGTGTATCTCCCTCAGGTGTGGGACTCGCAACATTCCCTGCCTCCTCGCTCTCATGGGTCGGGTGGATGTGACTGGCAAGAGATGTTTCCTTAGATAACGATTTGCTTAACACGCGTGGCCAAGGAAGTCGTGCAATGTGGGGTTGGGGGCTGGCAAATCATTTCACAACCGCCTCACTTAGCGGACGGCCGTTAAGCCGAGGACGTCCTGTGCCCAGGTTGTTGATGGCCCACTCTCCTCTCTCTCTCTCTCTCCCTCCCCAGTATGAGTTTAAGGCGAAGAACGTGAAGAAGAGGAAAGTCAACATCGTGGTCTCGGTAGACGGGGTGAAGGTGCTGCTGCGGAAGAAGCCGAAGGTGGGTGACCAGGCCTTGGGGAGCCCAGAGAGAAGCGGGGTACAGCCCCAGGGCGGTCTAGGCTGCTGGGGTGGAAAGGGTGGGTTTCAGGGAACTCTCTTTATGGCTTATCAATTGACCCCTCTCTGTCTTCCTTGGCGGGGGAGAAAGGAAGCCCAGAATTTGCTCTTGCAGCTTTTCTGAGGTTCCCTCGTCCCAAGGCCTTAGTCGAGGGGTGCCAAGTCCTTGCTGCCCTCGACTCCTGGAGAATACGGGGTGCTGCACGGCTACCAAGCCCAAAACAGCTGGCCCTGCTAACGCTGTCTCTTCTCCCAATCTCCTTTCCAGAGGAAGGAATGGACCTGGGATGAAGGCAAAGTGCTGGTGATGCATGACCCCGTCTATCGGTGAGCCCTCTGGCAATTAACTCTCCTCTTCTTGCCTCTCCATGCACATCACGGTGCCCCAGACCCAAGGCCCTTTTCTTCAGTGCCACTATGATAGTTGCTAAACGAATGGTCATAAGTTAAGGGCTATCTGTAAACAACACATCCCTTAACTTGAGACCGGACAGCCACCCCTATACAGCTGCCCCCTTCCATTGGGGAAAGGAAGGAATTGCACACACCTGGAAAGGACCATTGAATCGTTTGGGTGTTAAAGATTCCCCGATTCAAGGATGTCCGGGGTGTTCAGCCATCCAAGCTGGTGATCAGGCATCAACCCCTCCAGAACCTCTGGAGAATAAAGTACGACACTGTGCTAGTGTTTCTGAATGTTTGGAGTGGTTGAGTTGTTGAGTTGCTCTCAACCATGGCAGCTTGAAGATGGGTGGACTTCAATTGCCAGAATTCCCTGTGATAAGTTGAAGTCCTCACATCGTGAGGTTGCCAAGGTTGAGCAAGGAAGGGATGAGATTGGCCTAAGACCCCTGTCTTAGATAAATCAATTAGATGTTGGAAATGTCATTGAATACCAGGAACATATTACCATGTGTGGTGGACTTGCACAGAAGCTAAAAGGTATTGGTTAAACATGGTTGGAAAAAATGATTAAACAACATATAGATTTGAAGCCTGAAATATTCCTATTAGGAATGGTACCAGAAGGTTATAGTAAAGAAAAGATTTACTTAATTATACAATCGTGCCAATTTAACAGCGGCTAGCGTTGTATTTGCCCAAAACTGGAAGAGTGATAAGATACCGATAGAGGGAAAAATAATTGAAAAAAATATTTGAACGCGCAGAAATGAACGGACTGACACTAGAAAGTAAAGAAAAAGAAGAATCTGAATATTATATGGTATGGGATTTTTTTTATTGATGGATAGAAAATAGAACAAATTAAAAGGGATTGGATGTATTTATAGAGTAATAAGAGAAGTTAATGTAATAGATATATTGGACTTCATTTATATTATTTGCACGGGAATGTGATCATTGTATTGTTAAATTTGACAAGAACATTATTAATAATGGTTAAATAACTGAAATATGTACCTGATCGACACACGATTGAAATGGAATGGATTCGTTGTATATTAAAAAAGAAAAAAAAACTTTTTACTAAAAAAAAAAAAGAAATAAAGAAAAAAGATGACCCCTGTCTCTGGTCCCACCTTCCCTCAGGATCTTCTACGTCTCTCATGACTCCCAAGATCTCAAGATCTTCAGCTACATCGCCAGGGACGGCACCAACAACTCCTTCCGCTGCAACGTTTTCAAGTCCAAGAAGAAGGCAAGCCAATCTGGGCCGACCTGGGCTACCTCGTGCCAAGCCTTGGGCGCCTTGTTAACCCGGTTATCTTCCCGCAGACCCAGGCGATGCGCGTGGTGCGGACGGTGGGCCAAGCTTTCGAAGTGTGCCACAAACTCAGCCTGCAACACGCCCTCCAGAATGCGGACGGGCAAGCCGACGGTGCCAGCAACAACTCTGCCGAAGGCGCTCAGGTAGAAGGTGAGACTTTGAAGGGACCCTTCCTGGATCGTAAATCTGGGGAAGGGGACCCATCTCGGCTTCCTAAAAGTGGAGGATTCGAGATGGGAAAATAAGAGCCTCTCGGCCCATGAAAAGCAAATCCAAATGGCTGCAGGATGCCCTTTGATCCATCCAGAAATTGGATTGCCTGCAGCAGATAAAGTTGAGACACACCTGGATTAGCTTCTGTTATCCAAAGCCAACTTGTCTAGATGAATGGTAGATAAGGCTTGCAGGAAGTTTCAAAGCAACTCAGTCCGAATCTACTCTGGATTCTTCCTCCTCCTCTTTCCTAGGCTGGGAAGGGGTTTCTCTGGAGCAGCGGTCGCCAACCTTTTGAACCTCGGGGAACTCATCATTTTAAATCCCGCGGACCAGAGATCCTAAAAAAAGTTTGCAGGGAAATTCCCCACCCCGTTTTCCTACCGATCGATCGTTCTTTTGGGGGGATCGCAGGATATCGTCTCCAGCTCCATTCTCAAGGGGAGAGAGAGAGAGAGAGAGAGAGAGAGAGAGAGACTTTTGGCTTCATGCAAGGAAAGCAGCAGAAGCAGCAGAAGTCTTTCTTTCTCTCCCCCAAACTCTGCCAGAAATGAGCCTTTGCTGGTGCAGCCTCTTGGAGCAGGAGGCCTTGCAGGGTCCCAAAGACTCATTTCTGGGGGAGTTTGGGGGATGGAAAGAAAGTCTTTTGCTGCTTTCCTTGCGTGCAGCCAAAAGCAGAAGAAGAAAGAAGCGGAAAGAAGCAGTCCGGTGGCCAGGCCAGGCGCTTGGGGCAAGTGGGGCAAGTTCCTCTCCTCCACCCTTTTCCTCCTCCCCTCACTATCTCGTGTTGTTTGCAATCCAAGTGATGCAACCCTTATGTTCCCACGGGCCCTGTGGGCGGCGCAGCCTTGTGTTCCTGCACAGCCTGGATTAATTGCTTTGGGGGGGGACATTTCTCTGCGGACCACCAACATTTTCTCATAGACCCCCAGTGGTCCCCGGCCCTCTGGTTGGCGACCACTGCTCTGGAGGACCAACTCATACCTTAGCTTGAAGAAAGCCCCCTCCCCTTTTCAAGGCGACCCCAAGTTCCCCAACGCCAGAATCCCAGGTGCGTCTCACTTTTTCTGCCTTGCTTGTTGTCCCCCAAAGGTCTCCAACCCTCAGAACAAGCCTTGGCTGACCAAGACCTCGGCTTGGCTGGGTCGCTAGGGGTCTGCCTGCCTGACTGCGGGGTCTGCGAGCTGCCTTTCTCTGTGCCTGACCTGGGAGAGCTGGACAATGGGCTCAGCCTCAAGGCGAAGGACAGCCAGGTGGGTGACTCCTTGGGGAGACCCATGAAAATGAAACTGGGGAGCTGGATCCTGGGGGCTGGGGGTGGGGCGAAAGGAGCAGCCCCCATTTCCGGTCTCTTCTGGCTTCCAGGAAAAGGAGAACGGCGGTTTCCGGCCCTCCTCTGCCCAGCCTCTCGGCAGCACTGGGAGCCCTTCTTCCTCTGCCTCGGCCACCCCACTTGCCTCCCAGCACCGCCTGCAGCTGCTCCAACACCAGCTCTTCCAGCAGCAACAGCAGACGCAGGTGGCAGTTGCACAGGTAAGCCTTCTCTGTCCTGGGTGCAAAAGTTCCCAGGCCTGGGCACCTGTCCTTTTTTCCCCTCTGCTCCTCAGTTACAACCACCATTCACTCGGGTCACCCCCTGAAGGAAGCTTCCAGGCAGCTCACCAACTTGGCTTGTGGAACTCCTGGCCACAACAATTGTGTGGGAGCTGCGCGTCCAACCGGGGTTCCCCAAGGGGTGATAGGGAAGAGTCTGCGTGGACTTCTAGGGTCGACCATCCTGGCATGGACATTATAGCAGACAGGATCTTCCACCTGTCCAAACTGCAAAGCGAGCTCTAGCTGCCATCCAACCAGGGGCCCCACTACAACTTCCAGCCTCGCGCGCCTGGTGCAACGTCCATGGTCAGAACCTGCCCCCCTGGGGGGCAGCGAGGAGATGCCTGCCATGCAAAACGCACGTCCTGTTCTCAACAGGTGCAGCTGCTGGAGGACCAGCTGTCCGCCGAGACCACGGCCCGCGTGGAGGCCCAGGCTCGTGTCCGCCAGCTGCTCCTGACCAACCGCGATCTCCTTCAACATGTCTCCTTGCTGGTGAGGCAACTGAAGGAGCTGGAAATCAAGGTCCAGCTGTGGCGTCCAGGTGAGCCAGGGGTCAGTGCAGCTGGGGTGGGTCAGCTGTCCCTTGCCACCTGCTCCTTGGGAGCAAGGGAACCGAGGGGCTCAGGAGGTGGAAGGGAGAAAAATGGGCAGGAGTGGAGAGGAGCAAGGAAGGGAGGCCACCAGAGAACAGGTCAGAAGAAAATTGGCCAACCAGAGTAGAACTTTCTTACAATATGACACGAAACTTGCCGGCCTCCAGATATCTCTGAACCAGGCCCTCCCCCTCTCGCCCCCAGTTGAGCGTTCCTTGCAGAACCTGAGCTCCGAGCACCCGCTGTCCCTTAACCTGAAGGACCACTACAGTCTGGAAATCAACCTGTCTTCCACCTCAACACCAGCCAGCATCGTGGGCAGCCCCACGACACACCTAGCTTCTTATGAATCCCACCAGAACTTGACCAACTTGGAGATGGGTAGCGGATTGTCTGGCAGGCTGGAGAAACAGGAACATCTGGCAATTCTGGAAGGGCCTGACGGGCTCCGCAGCGTGGAGGGATCTGAGGCAGATGAATGCAGCGGACCCAATGGAAGCGCGCAACCGACTTCCAGTGGTCCGGATGCCGTGATGCTGAAGGAAAGGTAAGTTGGGGTGGCTCTAATCGGCACTGACCCAACTGAGCCGTGAATTGCTTCCTTCTCAGGTTGAGGTGCCACACCCAACCGTGACTGGCCTTGAGTCTGACCCGCTTCCCGTCCTCATTTGACAGGTTGCAGCTGTTTATCCCCAAGCTGAATCCACCTCCACCGACCTTGCGAAGGAGATCAAGTAAAACCATCTCTCCCAGCTCAGAAGCAGAGAAGATTGGGGCGTCTTCCAGGGCCGCCCCTGAACCCTCCGTGCTCAGCAGCCCAGGCATCTTCTCTAGGCCCGAGTCTGAAGCCAGGATGCTGGGAGGAGGCCAGAACGCCAGTGCCCGTGCCAAAACCCAAGGCCAGGAGAGTGTTGGGCGGCCAACAGAAGCCCGTATGTGGGTGGGAACAGCTGAGAACTGGGGTGCCCCACAGCCCTTCTTGAGCATCAATGAAACCTGCCTGCACATCAGTCTGTCCGAGGATGAGCTTGACCGGAAGGGGAGCTGTGTTGCTCACGCATAGGAATGCTTGAGGGACAGACTGCAGTTGAACGCTCTGCAAGGCAGAAATCCTCAAATGGATTCACGAAAGTAACCCGCAGAAGTTGGCCATCTCAGAAGCAGGTGTCTTCCTCCAGATACCATCTGAAGCCTCCTAAGAAATGTCACCCAACTTCTTGACATGGTTGGCTGGTTTGCAGACTGTGATACCCTCGTAAAGCAGTGAAGGTCCATCGGGAAACATTCTCAACAACTTCACTCCCATCTGGAGAGGACCTCAGTCCCAATGGCTGAACAAAGAGCCCTGGCCAGAAATTGGTCCCAAGGCTTGAAGGACATCAAGATATTTCAGGGGCAAAGATCATTTCCACATGGCCTAGATAATGCAACAAAAGGTTCTACCGTTTGGTCAACAAAGGTCAACATCTGAGAGAAAGCTAGTTCTAGTTGAGCTGTGATTTCCAGATATCTCCATGCAGAAGTTGACTCCTCCTGAACCAGCAAGTTTAGAGCTGAGGGGGACACACTGGTGCCAGGATTTTGGAGCTAAAGAAACCTGGCGTGTCCCTCCAGATGTCTCTTTCCTCCCTGTCTCCTTTATCAGCTGAACTTCTGGGGTTCTACTGGAGAAGATGGGAGTGGAATAATCAGGAGAAAAGCTGGTGTTTAAAAAAAAAAAAGAGAGGTTTTATTGGGTCCTAAGAGAGAGATTCTGCAGAGATTCAGGAATTTGGCCCAAGTAGCCAGAACCTGTAATGCTCACACCTGGGGTGAAGGCCATCTGGGGTGAGGAGAAGCTGTGATAGCTCCCACCACCAACCCAAACCCTCACTGATACCAGGCGAGGGGAATAAACACCCACCAGCAAGGAGTTGTTTGACAATCACACAACCTCGGAAAAGGACTGGACTTGCATTTCAGGCGTCTGGTTCACGTGGAGCCCCAAAGGGGGACACCTGCATGGCTGATGACCATGAAAAGAAGGGGGGAAAGAGTCCAGGGTACGTTGCCAAAAGGGCCAGCGGTGGGGAGAGCCCTCCAAGGACCAGAAACGAGGCCTTCGTAGTAAATGCCGGGCAGACACGCATGAAGGAGCTGACCAAAGGGATGGAACTGTGCGAAGAGTCGCTGTGTAGGAAGGAGTGCATGTGTGTGTGAGAGAGAGAGAGAGGGAGGGAGGGAGGGAGGGAGGGAGGGGGAGAGAGAGAGAGAGAGAGAGAAAAGAAGAAGAAGAAGAAGAAGAAGAAGAAGAAGAAGAAGAAGAAGAAAAGAACGGGAAGGAAGGAAAGGAAGGAAGGAAGGGAAAGGAGGAAGGGAGGAAAGGAAAGAAAGAAGGGAGGAAGGAAGGGAGGGAGGGAGGAAAGAAGACTAGGAATGCACCCTGTGTCAAGTTATCTCCAATCGGGAGGCAAAATGGCAGCTTCACAACCGACAACTGGGGTTGCCCACATCCAAATGTAAAGCATACTCCCTCCTGTGCCCATGTAGCACAGACTGAACATTTTCTGATGCTGCCAATAACAGAGAGAAAAAAACACAAACATCACACCTGGATCTACAACACACACATTTCTTACAGTTCCCCCCCTCCTCAAGGCAAGCGGTAGTTTCAGGGGTGCAAATCCTGCCATTGCAAGCATTCGGCCACCCAGCAGTGTCCTTCCTCCCGCCCCCACCCCCCAAGACAAAAAAAAAAAAGAGGCCTTAACTTCTGAACCCGAAGCTAGCTATCCATGTTCTCTCTGCATTCCTCTTTTCCCCAAAGGGGGAAGGCAGAAGAATGCACGGGGAATGCATTGGAAGCATTCCTCACAGCCACCTTAAAAAAATAAAATAAAATCGAGAATTGGTGTGCGATATAACACCCCACTTGCATTGTCGGGAGGTGTCGAATGAGGCACCGAGGGCATGGAGTGAGGTGGCTGCCCTGTTTTCATCAGCCAAGGCAGCCCCCAGCCTCACAGTCCCCCCGGGAGAGGGAGAAAAGTTTTTGAATGGGAGGGGCTGGCCAGCGTTTCCCGGGTGGGGTGGGGGGTTTATCTCCTTGTTGAAGACTTTCGCCAAATAGAGAGGGGGAAACGGTTGAACACACAATGTAAAACCACTCATGTTTCCAGGATGATAAATGTAACGCCAAATTCTTTTCTCCTTCCCTTCTTGGCGCTGTCTTTTGGGGAGGGGGGAGGGCCTGGGGGGTGGGTGGGTTTCCTGTGCTTTCAACAGGCTGCCTTTGACCCAGACGGGGCCGTTGAAGTTCTCCTGTGGATATGACTTAATTCTAGCACTTGAGGGTCTGCTTTCCTTCCAGATAACCGTCTTTCCCACTCCGAGACCCAAACACGCACAAACACACAGACCCACACCCAAGCTTTTTTGGACCTCCTCTGGTTTAAGCATTGTCTGGGCATTCTGTTAAAAAGGATTTTAAAAGATTTCTGTACGTGGCTGGGCAAATGCATGCCAGACTCAATGTTGCCATGCCCAAAACTGGAGCTGGCACATTGGCTAGCAAGAGAAGGGGCTTTATGGGTCAGTTCAACGCTTCCTTTTTGGGGAGGGGGGGAGTCAAAAAGGGAAATCAATGTCAAACCCAGGATGAACACATATGAAAGCTGATGGTTTTTTGGCAGTTCTCCCTTCATCAGAATCCTGGGAATGAAGTCTCAGACCAGACCCAAGAATTGTCTAATTGTTTTCCTAAAAACATAAATCCTTGGACCGGATCTACATACTTTGTTCCCCACCCAGGAAAGGCCTAATCCACTCACACACACAATTGTGGGGTGCCCCCTCTTGCAACCAGCACCAGCTGGGCTATTTTGCAGCCCTTCTCCCTCCTGAGATGCCCTCTGCGGGTGGCAAAAGACACCCTTGGAAATTTGGTAGGTTTGATGAAGTCAACAGCCTGGCACCCTTCTCCGGCTGGCACAATTCCTAACGGAATGAAGAAACCAAAAAAAGGACACCGGCCACGTCACACAATTCTCTAGGCTGAGGGTCTCATTGCAACAGGTTGGCACCGGCGCAATGGTGTGAATGACACCGTTTGGCTTTACTTTTCCAAGTTTTGGGTACCCGCAGCTTCTCGTGCCAGCTCAGTCCTGGTGGGGCATCACCTGACTCAACTGGAGGGCTTTTTGGGGAAGGGGGTGCGCTGCGTGGCATCGCAAGGGAGAAGCAGGGGGTGCAGGACCCACTTCTGGGGTCTCCACCTCAACTGTGGTTTGTTTTCTTGTCCCCTTTTAATCCCACCGGTGTGTTGCTCCTGCCTTGATCCAAGATGGCGACGACGACGGCTGCCTCGGTGAAATGCTCTCACATGGTTTCGACCATTTGCACTAAGACAAATTCCTTGTGTGTCCAATCACACTTGGCCAATAAAAAAAGAATTTTCCCCCTGCAGGGCTCAAGGCAAGGATTCGGGTTCGAGTTTCGCACATCCCTCGCCTTCAGAGCACATACTCCTGGGATGGGCTGATGGGAGGGGTCTATGTGAGGGCGGGGGGGGGGTGAGCTGCTGTTCCACTCCACTTGAGGGCTTTGGGGGACTTCATCCTCCTTTTTTTCCACTTGTTTCCCCCCCCAGATTCCTGGGACTCAAATGTAAGCCCAGACATCTGAAATAAACACCCACAGACATACAATCCTGGGCTCAAAGTCAGTGAGCGGCCTCAAGTCTGGTTTGTCAGGTTTCCAAGGGATGGTGCTCCTGCTTCCCATAAGCACCCAGGATTGAAGGTTTGGGACTTAGAACCTGGTCATCCTAAGCCACTACACAAGCCGCCATTTTGGACTATAATTCCCATAACTCCTGACCACGAACCAGGCTAATGAGAGCTGTGGTTCTCCCGCCGCCTCCCCCATGCTCGAAGGTTTATTTTTATTTATTTATTTTATTTTGTCCATTGCTTACAAGATAACAGGTATAAGTATAAACATAGTTATGAATACATGAAATGGGTACATATAAGAAAAATAAAAAGAAACAATAGGACAGGGACGTGTCGTTGGTGCACTTATGCACGCCCCCTACAGACCTCTTAGGAAAGGGGTGAGGTCAATAGTAGACAGTCTAAGGTTAAAGTTTTTGGGGTTTGGGGAAGAAACCACAGAGTCAGGTAGAGTATTCCAGACATTGACTGCTCTGTGGCTGAAGTCGTATTTCCTGCAATCATGTTTGGTGCGGTTTACCTTGAGTTTGTATCTATTGTGTGCTCTTGTATTGTTATGGTTGAAGCTGAAGTATTCATTGACAGGACATTGCAATGTATAATTTCATATACTATATTTAGATCAGACCAAAGGCGGCGTAGTTCTAGGTTTTCTAGGTCTAGAATTTCAAGCCTGGTACACCGGACCTTCTTTGCTCCTGCTTTTGAAGGCGTCCATCCAGGAACCAGACTTGGTTTAAAAAAGGAGGTGGGGGAGGAAAGGGAGGGGGATCCTAGAGCTGCCCCCTCCCTCCCTGTGTGAGCACCGCCTGCCTTTTGCAGGGAACGCCCAGCAGAGGGCAGCACCACCCCAGGTTCTCCTGCTGCCATGTCTGGATGGAAAAAGACTCCTCTGGATCTGGAGTGTCTTGGGGCCCCGTCCAGCAGGATGCAACCCAGCCTTCTCCGGCCACCATCCGGGCCTCCTCCCTGCTCCCCACCAGCACGCGAAGGACAACCGAGCCTCTTCCTGAAGGGATTTGGCTTGGCTTCCTGACAGACCGTGAAAATTTGCTCGTCCTGGTTGGGATGTTCCTAAAAACACAATGGGTGAACTGCAGACTTGGCACGGATTGCCATTCTCAGCATGCCAGCTTTTTAGAGCGGGATGCTGCTGCTGCTGCTGCTGCTTGACCGTTGGGCCGTCTGCCGCAGCCTTGTGCTCTCTTCCCAAGCGGGGGCAGCTTTATTTTTATTTATTGATTTGATTTGTTTGATTTGTCAATCACTTACAAGATAACAGGTATGAGTATAAACATAGTTATGAATACATGAGATGGAGATGTATAAGAGAAATAAAAAGAAACAATAGGACAGGGATGGTAGGCATGATTGGTGCGCTTATGCACACCCACTAACCCCGACAGAAGAACAGAGTTGGGAGGGACCTCGGAGGTCGTCTAGTCCAACCTCCTCCTCAAGCAGGAAACCCTATCATAAGTTGGTTCTTTCCCATCAGACTTCCAGATTCAATGTGCAACTAGACCCCGGGGGCCCTTTATAAGCAGGAGGGACCCCCTGTCAGCCGTGGGCCCCTTCAACATTTCCATCGCTGATGGAGACAACGGCTGCTCAAAAGCCGGGCCAGCCTTTTAAGCAGAGGAACTGCAAACATCAACTGAAGATGCTCCCAGAGTCATTTCATTACAAATTGGTCAGCAAATAAATTCAATCAATAAATAAACTGTTGCCAGAAAGCCCCTTTCCAGCACCCCCCCCCCCCCCCGATTTTCTAGCCTGCCCCACTCTCAGTGGCAATTAAAAATAATAATAATTCACGAGGCATATTCTTTCATTTTAGAGATGCTCTCTCCAAGTCAGTAGTGAGAAACTCCATGGGGGTTTCATTTCCACACAGCCACCAGTTGTATGTGAACCAGGAAAATGTGGTGACCAGGTTTGGAATTAACCTGGATTTTCACCCAGCTTCACATGAGCTAATGTAAAGCTAAAAGCTAA